ACTATATTTTCTTATCCAATCATTAATAAAACAAATCCCGTGTCATATAAAATTACTTATCTTCTAATTTCAAATCTCAGTTTAACTCATCTCTGCACATTCCATAATTTTCAAGAACTTCCTCCTACATAGGTACTTTTTCATTCTTCCAATTCTTAAAAGTTACCACTAACTTTTCTAACCACTATCAAAACTTAATTCTTCACTACATGTTTCAACAAAAATATCTCTAGTTTAAAATCTATATGTTACTATATCCAACCATGTATGAATTTTAGTCTAATCTCTTAAAACATTTACAATCAAATACAATTCTTTACTATATATCTCAGTTTTATACTTTATTCCAATGCTTGCATAGTTTTAAGTTCACCCTTTTCATTCAATATCCCAAAATATCTAGCTGTTTATTCCTTTTTATATATTACTGGATAAGAGAAAGCAATAATAAATGTCCTTTCAACATTCTGCTTTTTTGAAGCATCTGTCAGTTCCATCATTGTTGTATTCCCCTCATTTTTTCTTTAGGGATCTGGAGTAATTTCTTTCTGTAAATATTGTTTTACTTCTTCTTCTTGAGTATTCTCTTAATAGTACAATTTTCCATAATAATCTTGTATATTCCTTTTCTCGCCCTCATTGCCAAAAACAAGTCTGTCCCTCTTCATTTATCAATTAATTATCCCTTTTTGATTCTCAGTTTATAAGCCTCAAGATAGTTCTGTTTAGTATTTCTGATTTCTTGTGCTATTTCTTCCTTTTCCATTGATCCTGTTTTATGTTTGATTAAGTCCATTTTAGCTTTGATGTTTTTTTTTTTTGCGGGAATTTCTGCAGCTCTTTTTCCAGTTTTTTATAGTCATCCTCAATAGTTTAAAAATCTTTTTCTGCATCATGTTTCTTGTATAGTCTATTATCAAACCTCTTGTATAAGCCTTCATTATGTCAAAAGATTCTTTATCTTTGTTCTTGCCAAAAGAAAAAAAAAAAAAGAGGAGGAGGGGAAAGGCTAAGTCTCTTTAAAAATCCAGCTGGAGGGGGAATAGAGAGCAAAGCAAAGCTTCTACCAAAAAAAAGAGTTACTGCCACTAAACAAGGCTCTTGTGACTAAATCAAACTTTCCATCTTGAATATTTTCAAAATCACTTT